TCAGCAATTCCACTGCTGGGTATATATACGCTCCCTAAATTGGAAATAGTCGATCAATAAACATTGGTCCACAGCTGGCTGTAGCAGCAGAACTGTTCGCAGCGGTACAACCCAAATGTCCATCAATGCATACCTGACTAACAGTGGCACATTCCTATAATGGAATACTATTCAGCCACAAAAAGGCATGAAGTACTTATACAGCTACAACATAGATGAAGCGTGAACACATTGTGTTGACCATATGTGGTTCCATTTAGGTGAAATATTGAGAATTGGCAAACATGCAGAGATAAAAAGCAGATTAGTTTTACTGAGTAGAGGAGAGGTCTGGGGGAAGGCGGTAAGGAGGAGTAACCGCCTCGTGGGTATGACATTTTTTGGGGTGCGGAAAATGTTTGGAACTAGAAAAAGATGACTGTTGCGCAGCATGACTGATGTCTTGCATGATAAATTTCATGTTAGGTGCATGTTAGTACAGTTTCCAAAAATTGGAGTGTACTGTGTTGGGCAAGACTTGGGCCTCCAGGATGAGAGCCCCACTGCAGAGCCCTGTGGCACACTGCTGCTAGAGCCGCCTCTGGTGCCCTTGCAGGACTGAAGGTGGTGTGAGGGGATGGCCCAGCTCGCCGGAAGCGCTCTGATGTAAAGCTGCAGGGAAACTGTGCTATTTAAAACCCAGCGGATATAAATTTTAACTACAGCGAGGCTAGGAGAATTTCAGTTTATCCACTGAAAAGGAAAATAAACTTTTATGATCTGGTGGTGCCATAATAAGTTTAGTTAAAAGTACATGGAAAGTTTCTTTCTTTTCTTTTTTTTTTGAACTTCCCATGAAATTCTTTACTTTTTTTTTTCCCATAACTTTATTGAGAGACAAATAGCAATGAGACAGTTTCAAACCAAATTGGTAGGACAGTTTCAATAGTTAACACGTTGCATACATTCTTCCTAGTGGTTAATGCCTGTACAAGATGTGGACATGATATCCTATTTACAAACACCATTAGAACAAATCCCTCTATTCAGTAAGAGAATGTAACTATATATCTATCCTAACCACTTTGAACATGGAAAGTTTCTACTTTTCGCTGCATACAGTTTTTTCCCTTTGTCCCCAGGAGTGTGCTACTTGTCCCGCCTCACCCTGTATTCTCTTTTCGGAAAGGGGAAAAACAAAGAAACAAAAAACAATCCAGTTTTGAATTGTCTTTATTTCTGACAGTCAAAGCCATATTTGATTAATACAAAGATTCATTAAAAATACATGTTTTAAAAAGAGAAATCTAAGCAATCAGGGATAATGTTGCTAATGTTTTCGCATGCATCCTTCTGGCGTTGTTGTTTTTCTCCTGTGACTATCTATGCACCTGTATGTTGAGTTTCATGGGAACACATTGCCTTTATCAACATAACAGGGACCTTGTTTGTGGAAGCACCAGTAAGTAAACTGCTAATGGTGGTGTAGTATTGCATTCTGTGCGTTGGTCTGATGATTCTCTGCCCAATGTTGTAAATGAGCCAGGCAGGACCTTATCTTGCAGTGATTCCTCTGTGGACAGTTAGCCCTCTGTCAGGGTTTTGAAATCTGATACCAGGTTTTGAAATGTATATACCCTCTTTAGCTTTTTTTTTTTATTATTTATTTATTTGTGTGTGTGTGTGGCCAGCTCAGCCCACCAGGGGGCGGGGCTGGCTGGCATGTGGTGCTGGGGGATTGAACCGTGGTCCCTGTGCTTTGCTAAGCTTGTTCTAAGTAGGTGCTTTAGACCACTGAGCCATCTCACCAGCCCATCTCTTTAGCTTTTTGGGTTGCCCAATGACAGTCTTCAAAGCAGAGGTATGACCTATGTCAGCCTGTTTTCTGTTGCTATAACAGAGTACCTGAGACAGGGTCTTTCGCAAAGAGAAGAAGTATATTTAGCTCAAGTCTGTTTATGCTAGGAATTACGACAGTGTGATGTTGCTGCCTGTTCAGGTCCTTCTTGTTGTATCATAACATGGGAGAGGGCATTGGATGGAGAGACAGAAAAGCATGCTAGCTTGTGTCTCCTTTTAATGCCACCATCAACTTTGCGGGAGCCCCACCCTCATGACCTCCTCTAATTCTAATTACCTTCCAAAGGCTCAGTATTCAAATACTGTCAGTATTTGTATTTGAACTTGGAAATTAGGTTTCTGACACATGAACTTGAAGGAACACATTGAAATCATAGCATGAGCTGGGCACGGTAACGTATACCTGTAATCCCAGCACTCAGGAGGCTGAAGTAGGAGGATTACAAGTTCCAGGCTAAGCTGAGCTATGTAGCAAAATCCTGTCTCAAAAACGAACCAGAAACTCAAACCATAGCATGTAACATAAAGAGAAAAGAGGCCCATAAAACAATCAGCCAAAGACTCACTGGCCAGGCCAGGGATACAGCTCAGTAGTGTAGCACCTGCCTGCCAAGTGGGAGATCCTCAGTTCGATTCCCAGGACTAACCCACAAACAACCTGAAAACCTCACTGCCTTCAGAAGCTTTTCCTGAACCCCACTCAGTGCAGTCGAAGAGGGGGACAGAGAAATGTGCAAGAGCACAGGTTTTGAAACCGGACTGCATGGCTCCCATTCTTGCTTTTGTTACATAGGATGGATTATTTGGTCATGTGGCACAATCTATGGCAGGAGGACCTGGCAGCATATGGCCAGTCCTCAGTAAATGATGGATGGTGGACTCTGTTATTCCTCTCATTTGATTCAGCTGGCCTTACCAGTCTGTGGATGTGAGTTGATCCATGCGCTTGGAAGCGTCTGTTCAGGGACCTGTGTGTCTGTCACGCTGTCTGTCACCGCATGAGCTCCCTTGCTGGTAGCACTGATGGGCTGCCTCCAAAACCTGGAAAGTTGGTATAGATAAAATGCAGGTCCTTTGAATGGGACACTTCCATGGCTTCACTATTCTAAAGAAATTCCTGATAAGGAGAACTTAGAATTCTTCAAAGATTGTGATAAAGACCAGAATTATGTGAAGGAATTAAAAGTCATTATTCTGAAAGAGCAATCTATAGTAGAAGAGTAAATAAAATCTCAATTCCCATCATTTGTTCAGGATTCTTGGGCACTGAGTTAGTTTC